TTTTTTTTACTGAATCAGATTTGATTGACCCAAACACAAAAAAACACAACCCGAACATCGAATGACCAAAAAAGAAAATCAAACATGCAAACAACTTAGCAGCAAAATTAGGGTTCATCATGAATATATTTTTTGGCAGAAAGATGAACAAATTTATCAGACAAATAAACAGGCAAATATATGACCTTTCATTCATTTCTCAAGAAAATAGATATAACCTTAAACATTAAATGGAAAAAATAGAGAAATCAACCAAAAGGCAACACATCCACGGCAGAATTTTCTGGGAAAAATGGATCGAGATCTGATGGGAGGGATCCCACCCACGAGACCAAGCTCCCATCGTCCCCTTCACCACCATTCCCAGAAAACTCCTCTGTTCAAAGATTTACCTAAACAGAAGCAGACACAGCAAATAAGCCCTCCGGCAACCTCCAGATACAAAAACCGAGCCCCCTTTCAACAGAAAATTTTTCCTTTCCTCCGCCGTCAATACCAGACTCACCCAAAACAAAAAGACCCCCATTTCTAACCTAATGCCATCTATTTATACTCAAGCCAAAACAAACCCTAAACCCTAAAAATCCTACGCGGAACCTTCCAGAAATCACTCTCCGGGCCTTTTTGTGTCCACGGTTTTGGGCTCCTCCAATCACCAGAATTTGCAATGTATTTGGGCCTCTCCAATCTTCACCATTTTACTACAATTCGAAAATGCATTTGGGCCTCCATGCATGCCCAATTCTTCCTGTCGTCACTCACCCGTGATCCGTAGCTAGCATAGATTGGCTCTGCAGATTTGTTTCAGTTGGATGACGATTGAGATTTTGCCAAATCGCTGCATCATCGCGTGAAGAGCACCGTTGTCGCGAGCCAATAGATCCAGCTTCAATTGCTCCGGTTCCGCTGTTCACCCGCCGGCATGGTGGGTGCTGGGCCACGGGAATGGTTTGGAAGGTGGGTTTAACATGGAAGGGAGTTGGAGATGATGAGATCAGAAGGTATGGAACCGAAGAAGGGGAAGAAGACCGCCGGCTTCCTTTTTGAGAGATGGCTGCCGGTTGCTCTGCTACAGGAAGAGGAGGGTGAAATCGAGAGCTGAGGATAAAGATTCATGGATTTGGGGGCCACAGGAGAGATGATGGTTTTGATGATTTTGAGGAAGGGAGGCGGCTGTTGGCCGGTTGAGGAAGAACCACCTGCAGCAGGAAAGGGATGGTCGGGATCTGCGCAAGGAAGAAAAGAAAACCGAGGGAAGAGGGAGAATATGGATCGGTGAGAGGTTGTGTTGGGGCATGGGGTTTATCGCCTGTAGTTTGGGGGGAAGGTGGATGCCGGCTGTGGTGAGGGGTTGTCGCCGGCTTCCCTAGGGAAGAAGAAGGTTCGGGAAGGGAGACAAGGGTCGAAAGTGAGGGTGTGTGTGTGGGTTGGGTGAGGAAGAAGGTTTGACTTTTATCTTTGGTTTTGGGTTCGGGTAGTTTTTTTTTTTTTTTTTTT